GCTGCCTCACCTGAGTGCCGAGTGTCCCATCAGCAGGCGTCTGTTTTGTCAGGACCCCCCTTCCCCATGTCTTCTTGAGCCTGAGGACCCCCCTTCCCCATGTCTTCTTGAGCCTGAGGACCCCTCTTCCTCATGTCTTCTTGAGCCTGAGGACCCCTCTTCCTCATGTCTTCTTGAGCTTCCCCCCCAGTCCCTGATGCCCACAGGATCATGACCCCGCCAGGGCCAGGGGTTCTGGAATTCACTTCTGTACCCCTAAAGCCCAGGCCCTGCCTGCCCTGTTGATGCCCTCCAGTCATCTCAGATGGATGAGGCGGGTATGCCGGGTGGACTCTGCCGGGAACAGGCAGGGGCATTCCTGGCCTGATGCCCACAGCAAAGGTGTGGTGGAGAGTGGGACCCAGGGGGCAGGGCCCAGCCAGCCAGTGTCTGCAGGCGCGGCAGCGGCGAGGCCAGGCTTTTCCAGAACGGCTGTGGTTTCACAAGCGCTGAGCAGAGCCTGTGCTTGCTTCCAGATCTCCATTACAAGCTCATAATGAATCAGACATCACAGAAGAAAGGTGAGAACTGGGCCCTTCAGTGCCTGAGGGGATGCTCCTGCCACCCAGGGAAGCGCCTGCAGACTGTCCTTGCCCACCTGGCTGCACTGGCCCCTGTATGCCAACCCAGTGGGGACAGGTTCTGGGGCACCTGGACAGATGCCGCTACCTCTAGCCGTGGCTGGACGATGTTATGCAGCCAAGCACAGCTCGTGCTGCTCTCAGTAAGCCCAGGGCCTGAGATCATCGCAGTGGGGAGTGGGCACAGGGTGCACCCCAGACCCTCCCTCCTCCAAGCAGAGCTGAAATGGGAGGGACCCCTGAGACAGCCCTTGCCCTGCTAGGTCTTTAGCTCAGATTGCTGCTGTGGCCAGGCCCAGGATTTCCAGCCCTGTGGCTCTGAGTCCTGACATCCTGTAGGAGGGGCTCTGGACACACTCCATCCAGGGATCCCTTCCTGCCACCTGCGCAGCAACCATGGGGACAAAGGGAGGAAGCAGAGTCCTGTTTCCTTGCCACTTGTCCAAGGCACTTCCTATCCCGACAGTGGGCCCCACCCAGCCCAGGATTCTGGGTTGTGGTCTCAAGCTCACTCCTGGTTATTTTTGGGACCGGGGATGACACCAGGACATCTGACTGGTGGATGGAACCAGCCTGGGAACATCACAGTTGGGGCAGTGCCTAGGGCTCCCCCTTCCCAGGCAGACACGGAGAATAGGGTCGAGGGAGGGCCTTTCCCTAGCCGCTGTAGCAACTCCAGTGAGCTGTTCTGGGCAAAGTGCGGTGCCGGGGGCCCTGACGGGACACAGGAAGGGGACACAGGAAGAGGCCATGCTCTCCCTCGGGACCTGCTGTTCCATGTGTCCCAAGCCCTCCTGCATTCCAGACGGCCCCTCAGGAAACCACCTTTCCGGGGCCTCTGCTCCCTTGGGTGCGTGCTGGGTCTGCGTCCGCGGAGTGTGGGTAGAGCCGGGAGGACACAGCCCTGCCAGGCTGAAGGAGGGCCCCTTCACCTGACACGCAGGCCCCTTCACTTGACACACAGGCCAGGAGGCAAGCATGGGCGTCTTGCGGGCGGCAGCACCGACGCTGCACTCTCCTGCAGACAGCCTCTCCACGTCCAGCTTCCCGTCTGTCAAGTCCATCTCTAACTCAGGTGAGCAGGCTGGCGTCCACGTGCTCACAGGGCTGAGTGTCCCACGGGGACCCCAGCCTGGGTGGCCACTAGGGGTGCTGCCCAGGCCCCCTCTGCTGGGCCAAGCTCAAGGATTTGGGGGTGAAGGGGCAGCGGAAAAGAGCCCTGCAAGTTGAAGCCACCAGAAGGGGATTAAGCGGGGGTGGGCAGGACCGGGGGCCAGACACAGGGCAGTAAGGCCTCACGGCAGGCACCCCAGGCGAGGCAGCAGGCAGGCAGGAGGGGCTTCCCCGGGTGGCCTTCTAGGGAGGATGTACCCTGGCTGCCCAGCAGGAGCCCTGCTTGGCCGTATTCCTGCCACAAGAAGGCAGGACACAGGAAGGATGGCACTGCCCACAGAGCCCTGGGCTCATGGCACCTTCTGCAAAGTGAGCCGGGAGCAGAGAGCCTCTTTTCCCCACTGTGCCCCCGCTGGAGGCCAGACGTTTTCCTCAGCCCAGCCCTAAGCCGCGCCGTTCCTGGGAGGGGCCCAGGCGCTAGATGGGCCTCGTCCTTGCCGAGGAAACCCACGCAGGCTGGGCCCAAGCCTCTCGTGCGGTTTCATTTTACCCAAAATGGGGCCAGCCTCCACTATCTTGGTTGTTCTAGTGTTCACAGGCAGCACCCATGGGCTTCACCCTCAGAAGCTCGATTCCCCCCAGCACCGTCCAAGGCTGGCTCCCTTTACAGAGGAGGACACTGAGGCAGGGGCAGGGGCTTCTTGGGTACACACAGCTGATCCTGGAAAACTTGGGCAGTGACTGTTGGTGCCTGCAGTGACCGGCCTTGTAGGGTCTGACTTGCAGCCAACTCTCAAGGCCAGGCCAGGCCCCAGCCCGGCTCCTTCAACAAGCAAGATTCGAAAGCTGACGCCCCCCAGAAGGCAGACCTGGAAGAGGAGCCCCTACTTCACAACAGCAAGCTAGACAAGGTTCCTGGGGTACAAGGGCAGGCCAGGTAAGGCTTGGGTGTTCCTGGGGTGCAAGGGCAGGCCAGGTAAGGCTTGCCTGCACCCGAAGGGCCCCATGACTATATTTACGAGGCTCACGCCCTGCAGTCAGCCAGCTGCTCTGCCCCTAGCTCCAGGGGCCTGTCTCCAGGACTCATGACAGCGGATGACGGCCACGCTCTACCCATCGGTGGGCGCTGTCTTCCTCCCTCCCCCCGCGGTCCTGTGCTGACCTGAGCCCACAAGGGGGCCAGTAGCAGCCGCCAAACCACTTTCTCAGAGAAAAGTAATGTTCTCACCAAGAAAAGTGAGTTGCGCTCCTGCTGCCCCTTGGCCACAGCCTGCCTTTGGAGGGCACTAGGCCAGCAGGACAGAGCAGGACCAGGTTCTGATGATCCCTGAGTTTCTGGGACCGCCCTGGGATGCTAGAGTGCACACTTTCAGCAGCGCAACCAGCAGGACAGGCTCCTGCATCTCTGCACATCCCGAGACCAGGTCTGGAGCAAGAGGCCCCACTGGGTGTGGGGTCACGACCGAGAGCAGCCTGGCAGCTAGCTGGTTACCCATTGAAGCCCATCTGACCCTTAGGGCACCTTCAGAGGGGAGAAAGGGACAGGCCGCAGTCCCAGAGACCCCCACCTGGTGCCCAGAGCACCCTGCCGAGTGGCAGAAGGGAACCAGGCCCTCCCCCACATGGGCCTGGACGCTGCCGGGGGAGGTATGCTGGGCGAGTGGTTAGACACACCTGGGCAGGTCACCTCTGGCTGCTGCAATGACTGTTTCAGAAAGGAGAAAGCAGAGGCCTCTAACGCAGGCGCGGCCTGTATGGGGAGCAGCCAGCACCAGGGCAGGCAGATGATGGGGGTGGGGGCACTCCCCCCAATGAGCCTGCCCCTTCACCTGCGAAAACCCACCACACTGAAGCAGTGCGAAGTGCTCATCCGCGAGCTGTGGAACACCAACCTCCTGCAGACCCAGGAGGTGAGGCTGGGTGGTAGGGTTGGCCCTTCGCAGTCTGGCGCCGCCACAGGCCCCACCACGCCCCTGCCCCTGCCTTTCAGCTGCAGCACCTCAGGTCCCTCCTGGAAAGGAGCCAGAGGCCCCAGGCGGCCCCAGAGGAGGCTGCGTCTAGCTCTCCCAGGTGAGTGCCTGGTGCACCCCTGCCCCATCCCTGGGCACCTGTCCACAGCTCACTGCTGACTCTTCCTTCACCCAGGGACCAGGCAGCCATGCATTTTCCTAAGGTCTCCACTAAGGGCCTCTCGAAGAAATGGTGAGTCCCATGGGCATGGGGACAGTGGGGCAGCCCTGCAGCCTGGGCCCCAGGGAGGGAGTGGGGAAGGGACGGTGGCGGTGCACAAGCAGAGCGCGCGGAGGCCTCCCTAGGTCCCGGTGAGGGCCACGCAGGCCCCACTCCAACACCACTCCACTCCCAGGGATGCCCACAGTGACAGTCCCTCTCCCCGCCCCCAGCCTGGTTCTGAGCCCACCTGTGGCGCAGCGTGCCGTCCTGCCTGCCCTGAAGCAGACCCCGAAGAACAACTTTGCCGAGAGGCAGAAGAGGCTGCAAGCAATGCAGAAACGGCGCCTGCACCGCTCAGTGCTTTGAGCCTCCCACATCTGGTCAGTGCCAGGCCCACCAACCTGCAGCTGGAGACTGGTTCTCTATAGCATTTCCTGACACTTCACTACCTTTAGGCCTGGCTGAATTCCAAGATAGATGACACTTAAAATAGATAAAGTACTTGATCTCTAAAGTAACCATTTATTTTCTGTTATTTTGCTATTTAGCATTTACATAAAAAGCACATGATGAAGTAGGTATCGCTTTACCTGTTGAAACTGAAAATAAAGCTTCTTTACTTCCAGGTTGTATGCCTGGTTCCTCACTGGCCATCAGGCGTCGTGTCCCTTCCCATTCCCAGCCCCTGGCTCCTAGCCCAGCCCTTGCTGTCTGCAGAGGCCTGCCTGGGCAGCCCAGTCTTGCTCATCCGGGACCTGCCAGCGGCCCTGGGAGAGGCGCGTTGGCAGAGCCGTGCACATCCTCCCTGGAGGCAGGAGGGCTTTTCTGGTCCCCTGGCTGCGCTGGAGCTGCGTTTCAAACACATGATCACTCTGGGTCTCCTGCCCAGACTACATGCTCCTGGGGGCAAGAGGCCGTCCTCTCCTGCCCTGACAGCACCGCAAAGAGGTCCAGCCAGGCGGGCCCTCCTCCTTGGAGGGCCGTCTCCAGAACGGTGTGGACATGCCCGCACCACCCCTTCCACCACAGCACAGCCATGTCCAGTCAGGGGTGGGGTGGCCCAGCTTAGCGCCCACCGTCACCCAGCCACAGTCTTCCCAAGCCCATGGCCCCACTTCCTTGGCATTAATCTCAACCTCTCCCTGCTTCAGGGAGCAGGAACTTTGCCAGGAAGCTGGGGGATGAACCAGGCCAAGGAATGGGATGGTGTGTTAGAAAAGGAGAGCTGAGGCCCGGGGCCAGAGTGGACAGTGCCGGCCCCAAGGCTGACAGCATCCTGACAGGACAGCAGGCCCAGGTTCACGGAGAGGGGGACACAGTGACAACTCCTGACAAACACAGGAGTCACAAGATTGTAACAATCACAGATGATGGCGTAGTTCGCATAAAAAGGGAGGACCTCGTCACCAAAGGGCTGCTGGCCGGTGCCCAGGTAAGCGGGCAACACAGGGAGGCACTCACTGCATGGGGGCCCCACCCACTGCCAGGCTCTCTCTGGGTGGTGCAGCACGTGGTGTTCTGAGGACGCGGGTCCTGAGGGCCTCGCTCTTCATCCATCACAATGGACACGGCCCTTACACAAGTGGCACAGGGGTGCTGGCAGCACGATCCCTGATGCCCCTGCTCCCTGGGGGCCCCACAGTGCTCAGCAGGATTGCCACAAGGGCCGAAGTCCAGCTGGTGGCAGGGAGCCGGCAGCAGCCATCAGCCAGCCCTCCCTCCGATAGGCAGCCTGTGCCCTGGACTCAGGGGCTTCTCCAGGGGGTGCCCCACTTGCCCAAAGCAGCGCAGCCTGAACCCCAAACTGTGAGCAGAGAATCCCATGTGTGTGTGAAGGGTTTCCTACGTCCTCTGTGTTCTCCTATGGAAAGGAGCAGGGGTGTGTCGAGCACACACAAGACGCTCTAACACCCTGAGCGCACCCTGATGCTGCTGAGACAGACCCGGACCCTGGACAGGCCGCGGTGACAGCGGCCCGAGGATGGTGGCTGGGGACCGTGTCCGGCTTTGTGGAGGAAGTCACATGGAACACCTTTTCCAAGAAGACGGCCATTGCCCTGCAGGCAGCCCGCTCCACTGCGCCCGTCTCAGTCTGTGCAAGTGTGGGATTTCACTTGGCAGATCCCCAAGGCAGAAGAGAAAAGGAGGAAAGTTAACCTAACTCCAGGCTCTCCATGGAAGCCAACACCTAGAAGTGTCTGACAGGAGGCGTGTGTCCTTGGCCCCAATGAGGCTGCGGGCCATCCCTGCAGTCCTGGCTAGGCAGCCGGGAGGCAGGCCTGGTGGATGCTCCGGGCACAGGTGTTGAGCAAGGTGGTAACCGAGTGCTTGTCCGGGAGCTGTGGCAGCCTGGAGGTCACGCAGTGGTGCACCGACCTGAGGAAGGGCTTGGTGCCTGCAACAGAACAGTGGGCGTGAGTCTGAGGCAGTCGGCACCGCACCCAGGCCCTGCACACCCGCCCTGCACACCAGGATGGGCTGAAACACCAGGAGCCCTGCACGCTGCCTGCCTGGCTGTAGGGCTCTCCTCCCAGAGCCTGACCATCAGTGAAGAACTGAATCTGAATGGAATTTGGAGCCCAGGGCTTTGCCTCTGACAATCTTGGGGACCTAGCCCTGGCTCTGCTGTGTGCCAGCTCTGGGCTCAGGGAGACTGATCCCTGTCAACGTGGCTCTCTGGTGCCATGTCACCTAGATGGGGCCCTGTGTGCCCAAGCTACTGGTAGGACACGTCAGCTGCGCTGAGCTCCCTAGTGGGCTCTGGGAAGAGCAGGGTCTGTCCCTGAGCCGCAGCTTTCTCACCCCTCGGCCACTGAACACAGCCACCCTGGACAGCTGACCTGACACAAGATGAAGGGGCAAAAGGACACAGGAGAGAGCAGAGACCCTCTCTCACTGGTGGACAACCCGCTCCTGTCAGCACAGGGCGAGCCAGAAAGGGGATGGAAGGGCCTGAGCTGGGAGGGGCTGGAGTGCACAGAGGCTGTCCCTGCTGCACTGGGAGCCTGGTTTTCCGAACGACCCCTGCCTGCCCTGAGCCCCCAGACAGCTCCTCCGGGTCTGCCCACTGTACAGCCACTGTCGGTCCATCCATCGCGGACTCTGGGCACGGCAGTCGGTGGGCACGTGGTGGCACACTTGGGAGGTCCTTGTCATTTGCAACACACAAGGCTGTACCTGTGACTGGACAGGCCCCGGCCTGCCCTGCCTTACAACTCTGCTCCCAAACAGGACTCTTCACACCCAAGGAGGTGCTGGTGAGGCTTGTGGCAAAGCCTGGAGGTCTCTCTGACTCTCAGATTTCCAAACCTGAAGCCCGGAGTGCCCTGCATTGATGGGTACCCACAGGTCCTGCCCACCACCTCCCTAGGGCCACAGGCAAGCAGAGCCACATCTGTGTTGGGGAGGTGAGGTGCGTGGGCTCTGGCAGTGAGGGCAGAGACATGGCTAATCTGTCCTGGGCTCGGTGTATGTGAAGACAGGGCAGACAGCCTGGGGAGCATGAACACAGGGTGGGGTCTGGGCACTGTGCCCTCCGGCTCAAACGGCAGAGGCCTGGGGCTGCGGTCAAGGTTTGCTAACCAGCGCCAGCCTGACGCTCCTGGACACTTGCCCAACTTGCAGATCGAGTGGACGGTGCCATTGTAGCTGCAGTGAGAAGGGTCCAGGTTTATCATGCACTTGGGGTCCAGCCTGGCCACCTCGCCTTGCAGCACGCTGGGGGTGCTCTGCCGCTGGTCGCCCTCAAGCCTATGCTTCTGGGTGCATACCACCGGGCCCTTGAGAAGGCAGCATGGTGACCACACTGGGCACATATGGCCCAGGGCTGGCCAGCCGCCCTCCACAAAGCCCAGCCCAGCTGGATGTACGTGATGAGTGGACCGTGGATGACAGTCATGGCTGAAGCAAATGCGCAGGGAATGGCTGAAGACAGGTGAGCGGATGTTGGCCAGGATGGCATCCAGGAGCTGCTGGCACAGGTGCTGCTGTTTGGTCAGTGGCACCGGGGCAGTGGGTTGGAGGCAAGATGGGCACGGTCAGCAGCCCAGGACCCGAGGGTTCTCCATTTAGGGGGCCTTCTCACCCCAGGCCCGTCCTCACTCACAGCCTGATTCCCAAGGCCTCTCTCTCAGCCTCCACCCTTGTGCAGACAACGCTGGCCGATCCTGGGTGTAATCCCCCACCCCCACAGCCCCTGACTCCTCTGGGCCGGGTGGCAGAGGCACCCATGGGGGCCGCAGAGGGTGACTTCTCCCATGTTCCCACCCAGCACAGCAAACCTGGCCTCGAAGAGGCCTGGTGGGCAGGGTCTCAGGTCAGGCCCAGCCCCCACCCAGCCGCCCTGACCTGGAAGGACCCTCCTGTGGTGCTCCCAGGAGCTCTTGGGGGAGCCCCAGTTCCCCTAGGGGTCCCCAGCATCCCACTCACCACTGCCATGTCATTCTTGAGTTTCTCCAGGGTGATGTCACACTTTGGCAAGGTCTTCAGGGGACCTGCAGAGAGAGGGAACTTAGGCTGAGCTCCGTGCTGGAGGGCTGGGAGACATGGCTGGTCTCAGGCTCGGATCTGGGATCCCAACCACCGCCACTGGGCCTCCGCCCTCAGAAACCTCTGCAGGAGCTCCCTTCAGCTGACCAGTTGTTCCCAGACCCAGAGTCTAGGCAGGCGGCCCTCACCCTCAGGAGCTGCCCATCCCTGTTGGCAGTGAGGCAATGAGTCAAGAGAAGGGACAGTGGCCAGGCCCCTGACCAGGCTGGGAAGGCCTCAGTCGCATCTAGGCCAATCCGTATCCCACCCAGTCCTATAACCCTAAGGATCAACTCAGGAAGGCCCGGAGGACCGTCCAATAGTGACTGGCACTCTATCCCGACAAGCAGAACAGAGAGACGCTTCTAGATGGGGGTGCGGGGACAGCCTGAGTTTAGATGAGAGGGAGGTACAGGCCAATGCCCATGCAGTTCTGAGGTGCTGCCTGAGCTCACAGCAGCCTGTGGCCAGTGACCCTGCCTTCCACCTGCTTCTCACCAGCACCGTCTTGTTTCATTTTCATGACAGCACACATGGGCTGCAAATGGGGTAACTGAGATGCAGCTGCCTGCCCACAGTCACTGGAAGTCAGGGGCAGAACTCCAGGTCAGGTTCAGGCCCATCACAGCCAGCTGATGGTCAGGCCACCGCAAGCTGGGCCCCCAGCTACTGGCTGGATAAGGCCTGGCTGTGATGGGCCAGCATGAGGGCCACAGCAGTGGTCAGGAGTAGGGCAAAGGCTGGGCACTGGCCTAAGATGAAGCCTGGACTCAAAGGCCAGCACACATGAGTGGAGCCTTGGAGGCCTCTGTCCAGGCCCCAAAGAGCTGCCTGGTGCCTTTGCTAAACCCACATCACCACCAAGTGCACGTCCACAGCTGGGCCACCCCTGCCCTTGGGGACCGTCCGTGGGTTGTGGGCAAAGTTCACAGCTTGGAGAGGCCTGTCGCAATGTCTAGATGGCTCTTCATCTTGCTCAGGTTCTTTTTTCTGTCTGGGACAGCAGAGGGGACACTAAGACACGAGCCCAGTGGCATCCCCAGGACGCTGGCCCCCACCCTGGCCGCAGCCCACCTTCGTTCTTGTCGATCTTGTTGACCACGTGGTGCGGGGGACTGATGCGCTTGGATAGCTGCTTCAGCGTGTCCAGGTACTGCTGCTCCTCGCCCGGCTCGAGCCGGCTGGACTCATGACAGAGGTCACTGCAGGACTATGGGCAGGTGAGGCCACGGCCCTAGACCCTCAGGCGGGGAGCCTGGGCTCTGAGGGCCCCAGAGCTTGCACACCCGGTATAAGCTGAGGCCTCGTAAAGCTGAGGGGCGACCTTAGCACCTCGACCCGCCAGGCCGTGTACAGTTCACATTATGGGCTGTGGGTCCCGGGCCCGACTTAGCAGGTGTGTGTAAAAGTCTAGGGGAGGGGACACTGGAGTTCTGTGCGGTGTGGGACTGGGCAGGAGGCTACGGGGGACGGAGAAGGGCTGGAGCTGCAGCCAAGCGGGAGAAATATGGGTGCTGGGCCCAGGCAGGACAGCCACCGAACTCACTGTGCAACAAACCACAGTGGTGACCACTCCCCATCCTCCTTCCCGTGCCAGCTGGGCGGGGATCTCACCCAAAACAAGGGGTTGGGAAACAGGCAATACCAGCACCCCGAGCACAGGCTCAGTGTGGGCCAAGAGCACACACAGCTGGCGGACGCCCTGCTTCCGGAAGGTGATGGGATGCCAGCGAGATTACAGTGGACACTTCCTTCAGCTAGAAGCCTAACGAGCATACCAGCTGGATCCGCACCAGCTGAAAACACCGGCTGCTGAGTCCGGGAGTTTGAGACCAGCCTGGGCCACCTAGGGAGACCTTGTCTCTACCAAAAAAAAATAAGAAAAAGAAAAAGCTGTTCCATGGCTGTTCACTTTCAAAATACCAAGAAAAGGAAAGAAAAGGGAAGTTCGGCCGGGCACAGGGGCTCATTCTTGTAACCCCAGCACTTTGGGAGGCCAAGGCAGATGGATCAGCTGAGGTCAAGGGTTAAAGACTAGGCTGGGGGCGGTGGCTCACGCTTGTAATCTCAGCACTTTGGGAGGCCGAGGTGGGCAGATCACAAGGTCAGGAGATCAAGACCATCCTGGCTAACATGGTGAAACCCCATCTCTACTAAAAATACAAAAAATTAGCCGGGCAAGGTGGCGGGCGCCTGTAGTTCCAGCTACTGGGGAGGCTGAGGCAGGAGAATGGTGTGAACCCGGGAGGCGGAGCTTGTAGTGAGCCGAGATTACGCCACTCACTGCACTCCAGCCTGGGTGACAGAGCGAGACTCCATCTCAGAAGAAGAAAAAAAAAAAAAAGAAGAAGAGTTAAAGACTAGGTTGGCCTGTCTCTACTAAAAATACAAAAGAAAAATTAGCTGGGCATAGTGGCACGTGCCTGTAGTCCCAGCTACTTGGGAGGCTATGGCAGGAGAATCTCTTGAGCCTTGGAGGTGGAGATTGCAGTGAGCCGCGATCACACCACTGTACTCCAGCCTGGGGAACAGAGTGAGACTCTGTATAAAAAAAAAAAAAAGAAAAAGAAAGAAAGAAAGGAAAAGAGCAGTTCTCATTTTCCTACTGGGCTCAACCTGCAGTGTTTCAATGAAGTGACGTCCTGGACAGGGGAGGGACGGTCCGAAGAGGCAAGAGCAGCAGCTTCCACTGGCTGGGCAGTCACTATGCACCACCGCCAGGCTGGCTCTCCACACACGCCATGTCCTTCCTCTGCATGAGACACCAGGGCAAGGGAGCCCCCCAGCAGGCCTGAGGACATGTGAGGACACACAGGGAGGTGTGGCAGACAGGCTCCAATCACGTCACACAAGGTGGTCAGTCTTTCCCAGGTGTAAGTGAACATGAGTTCCATGGTGTGTTTCACACAAGACTCCAAGTAAGAAGGTGATGGACGGGCGCGGTGGCTCATGCCTGTAATCCCAGCACTTTGGGAAGCCGAGGAGGGCGGATCACCCGAGGTCAGGAGTTAGAGACCAGCCTGGCAAACATGGTGAAACCCCATCTCCACTAAAAATACAATAATCAGCTGGGCGCGGTGGCACGCACCTGTAATCCCAGCTACTCAGGAGGCCGAGGCAGGAGAATCACTTGAAACTGGGAGGCAGAGGTTGCAGTTAGCAGAGATGTTGCCACTGCACTCCAGCCTGGGCAGCAGAGTAATACTCTGTCTCAAAAAGAAAATTTAAAAAAAATCTAGCCTATTTGTTTAAAGGAGATGTTAATAATTCATGTTCCCTTGAACCTCTTCAGTTTTTTGCTTTTGACAGGAAGGTTCATTAACACACACAATCAATTACTAAAAGAAATATTATCAAGCAGTAAAACCTGATGTTCTATTAGCAAACAAAAAAATTCAACTTAACACTATCATACTCAAACTCAAATATCCAGAAGTCAATTTAAGTAATTCATGTCTCCTTGGCAAGGGTGTATGGATGATACCTTTTCCTGGTGATAGTAAAACCTATTCATTTTCTTACCTCACCCAGTATCAGCTTTTATACTTTTACTGATAAAGCCCACAATACACATACTGTATAGAAATCTTGAGCTCTTAATTAAAACGAACACACAGAGTTATATCTAAATCATTTGCTACAATGATCTAAACCCACTTTATTTACATCTTAGTATTAATCAGAGGGCAAAAACTCTTACATTACCTTTATTTTCAAAACTGGAGCCAGTGTTGCTATCTGGCGCAGGCAACATGTGTTCATAACCCCATGATACCATGTGTTTACCCCCAAGCAAACAGGAGGGAGATCCAGGCCCTACTTCTAAAAGCAATAGCCTAAGGGAGAGAAGGAAAATCAAAGACACCGAGATGATTCCTTTTAGCAAGAAGTGGACCTGCCACCCCAAAGAGCAAAAACCACAATCTTAAAACTAAGATGTATAATATTTTATATGAGTATTATTCACAAAAGATATTCACCATATTTTTAAACAAAAAATTACAAAGCCATTTTTCTTAAAATGTTACAACAAAATTGTATCTGTGTGTAAATGTATCTATTTTGTGTGTGTGTGTGTGTGTGTGTGTGAGAGAGAGAGAGAGAGAGAGAGAGAGAGAGAGAGGGAGGGTTATGAATTAGGAAGCATATGTACCAAAACATTAGGAGTAGTTATATTTGGGTAATGAGATTATGAATGATTTTCACTGTCTTCTTTATACCTTATCAATCATCTATGAATGATTTTCACTGTCTTCTTTATACCTTATCAATCATCAGCTCAAAATCTACCATCAGAATTCATCATAAGCTATTGTTTGTTTGTTTGTTTATTTATTTTGTGAGACAAGGTCTCACTCTGTCACTCACCCAGGCGGGAGAGTGAGTGGAGCGATCTCAACTCACTGTAACCTCAGCCTCCAAGGGTCAAGCAATCCTCCCGCCTGAGCCTCCTGGGTAGCTGAGACCAATGTTAAGTTTTCCTCGGTTAAAGGAACTTGTTATACTTACGTTGTTTAGCCTCATGGTAATCAGAAAACAAAAATCAATAACAGACACCCTAAAATTTAAAGTAAGGAATTAAAACACACTACCAGAAAAAATTACCTCACTACAAACAAAGACAGGAAGGAAGGGAAGGAGGAAAGAAAAGAAAGAAAGAGAGCGAGAGAGATCTGAGAGAAAAGAGGAAGGAAGGGAGAAAGAACAAAAGAAAAAAGAGAGAGCAGCAAAACAACCAGAAAACCAGTAAAAAATGGCAGTAGTATGTTTTTACCTGTTAGTAATAACTTTGAATATAAATGAATTAAATTCTCCAATTAAGACAGAGTGGCTGAATGGATTAAAAGACAAGACCCAATTACATACTGCCTACAGGAAACTCAGTTCACCTACAGGCATACACAGACTGAAAGTGAAGAGATGATAAAAGATATCCCATATCAGTGGAAACAAAAAAAGCAGAAGTAGCTGTACTTAGATTATATACACTTGCGTCAAAAAAAGAAAAAAATGAGATAATTATAAAATGAAAAAGAAGTAAACAGCAGCCTAACAATTGTAAGTGCATATGCAACCCGCACTCAAGCAACTAAATACAGAAGCAAATATTAACAGACCTTAAAGGACAGATGGATGGCAATACAGTAATAGAATACCTCAGCACTCCACTATAATCAACACCCCACTGTCCTCAATGGACAGATCATCTAGACAACAAAACGTCATCAGTTAAACTGTACTCTATACCAAATGGACCTAACATTTACACAGCTTTCCACTCCGCAACTGCACAATGCACATTCCACTGAGTAGCACATGGATTATTCTCCAAGACAGACTATGTCTTAGGCCAAAAAACAAGTCACAACATATTTTTAAAAACTGAAATCATATCAAGTATCTTTCCTGACCACAGTGGCATAGTACTAGAAATCAGTAGCAGGAGGAAAAACTCTACAAATATATGGAAATTAAAACACATGCTCATGAACAACCAATAAATAAAAAATTTATTGAAAAAAGAATAGAAACACAACATAACAAATCCTGTGGGATGCAGCAAAGTAGTTGTAAGAGGAAAAGGGCATAGCTATAAACGCCTACATCAGAAAAGTAGAAAGATCTCAAATAGCCAACCTGACAGTACACCTCAAGTAATGCGAAAAACGAGAAAAATAAAATGCTAAAATTAGTAGAAAGAATATCATAAAGATTAGAGAAGAAATTTTAAAAATAGAAACAAAAAATACAAAAAGTCAATGTAACAAAGAGCTGGATCTTTCAGAAAAAAATCAAAATTGACAAGCTTTAACTAGTCTAAGGAAAAGAAAAAGAAAACAAAATCATAGATGAAAAAGGAGACATTACAATTGATAACACAGAAACATGAAGGATTCTAAGAGATGACTAAAAACACCTATGTAAAAACAAGTTGAAAAATCTAGGAGAAGTGAATAAATTTCTGGACACATAACAAATTCCCAAGATAACAAAACCTGAGGCTGGGCACGGGGGCTCACGCCTGTAATCCCAGCACTTTGGGAGACTGAGGCGGGTGAATCACAAGGTCAGGAGATCGAGACCATCCTGGCTAACACGGTGAAACCCCGTCTCTACTAAAAATACAAAAAATTAGCCGGGCGTGGTGGCCGGTGCCACCTGTAGTCGCAGCTTAATGTGGGCCAGACTCGGGCAGGGACAGAATGGATGTGAACCCAGGAGGCGGAAGCTTGCCAGTGAGCTGAGACCATGGCAACTGCCCTCCAGCCTGGCGACAGAGAACACCCATACACCAAACAACAAAGCAAAACCAACAAAAACAACTGAAAGACCAAGTAACGAGTAATGTAATTAAAGCAGCAATAAAACGCTCTTCCGTCAACCATGAAGACACATAATCATGGTTTTACCTGCTGAATTGTAGCCAACACATTTTTAAAAGAGCTAATACCAATTTTACACTCAACAAAATATTCCCAATAAAAGGAAGAGAAAGGAAGTCTTCAAAACTTGTCTATGAGGGACAGCCGATGACCCTGGAACAAAAACCGGACCAGGAAATAACACAAAAAGAAAACGCATGAGGCCATTTTAAATATCCCTGATGAACACAGATGCAAAAAAAATCCTCAGCAAAATACTTGAAAATTGCATTTGACAACAACAATAAGAGAAGATGATCCTGGCCCTGATCAAGGTGAGATTCTATCCCACGGATGATGCGGATGCATTCAATAAAACACATATAATTAAAGTGGTGCGACATCCAACATTCAGCGAATCAAGAGCTAAAACCATACAAATCCCTTCAGCAGATGCTGAAAAAAATAAAAATCAACATTCGCCTTCAGACAAAACCCGAACAACGTAAGTACAGAAGGCATATCTCGGCGCAGTAAAGGCCGATATATACAACACCCACGCGCTAACATCGTAATCCACTGCGGGAAAAGGTTAAAAGCTCTTTCCTTAACACGGCCGGCAACAAGTGAGGGCTACGTTTTACACCGACTTTATTCATCCTAGTACGGAAAGTCCTCGGTAGGGCAATTAGACAGGAGGGATGAACGCAAAGGCATCCAATTGGAAAAAAAGGAAGTCAAACCGTCTCTGTTCTGCAGGTGACACTGCTCATGTGGCACATTATAGATAACACACACATATAATAAATTGTAAAGATTCCACAAAAATCACCCTACTAGCAAATAATTTTACGTCAAGGTTGCAAGATGCAATATCAACCATATAAAAATGAGTGAGCACACCCATTCCCGGTACCAAGTAGTAAATAACTAACAGAACAGAAATTTGGCGCCGGGCCGCGGTGCTCAAGTCTGGTAATCCCGAGCACTTTGGGAGGCCGAGACGGGCGGATCACGAGGTCAGGAGATCGAGACCATCCTGGCGAACACGGTGAAACCCCGTCTCTACTAAAAAATAGAAAAAACTAGCCGGGCGAGGTGGTCGGCGGCTGTAGTCCCAGCTGCTCGGGAGGCTGAGGCAGGAGAATGGCGGGAACCCGGGAGGCGGAGCTTGCAGTGAGCAGAGACAGTGCCACTGCACTCCAGCCTGGGCGACAGAGCGAGACTCCGTCTCAAAAAAAAAAAGAAATCAAGAAAGCTATTTCATTACCAAAAAAATTATGTTTAGGGATAAACTTAATCAACGACAAAAGATCCCACAATGAAAGCTATAAAACATAGATGAAAGCTATTAAAGCAGACACAAGTAAATGGAAAGATATCCCGTGCCCATGCACTAGAAGAATATTTATAAAATATCTATATCACCTAATGTGATCTACAGAATCAATGCAATCCGTGTTAAATTACAAAAGACATTCTTCATAGAAATAGAAAAAAAAAATCCTAAAATTCACATGGAAATGCAAAATACCTCAGATAGACAAAAGAATCTGGAATAAAAAGAAAACCTGGAGGCATCACACCTAACTTCAAAACACACTACAAATCTCTAGTAAGCATGGTACTACCAAAACAGCATGGTACTACCAAAACAGCATGGTACTACCAAAACAGCATGGTACTACCAAAACAGCATGGTACTACCAAAACAGCATGTACTACCAAAACAGCATGGTACTACCAAAACGGCATGTACTACCAAAACAGTATGGTACTACCAAAACAGCATGGTACTATCAAAACAGCATGGTACTACCAAAACAGCATGGTACTATCAAAAAAAGGGGTGGGGGAGAAACAGGGAAACGAAGGAATGACAGACAGACATAGACAAGTGAAACAGAATAGAGAAATCAGAAATAAATTCACGCATTTATGGTCAACTCATTTTTAACAAGGGCATCAAGAGCACACATTTGGGAAGGACAATCTGTTCAATAAACTGTGCTAGGATAACCCAACACCCACATACACAAGAATACACCTAGGCCGTTATCTTACCACACACAAAAATCTACTCAAAATAAAGATTTAAATGTAGGACCTCAAACTATGAAACTACTAGAGAAGAAAACATAGAATAAATGCTTCATGAAATTGATGAGGACAAGGAATTTTCAAACAGACATCAAAAGCACAAGCAACAAAAGCAAAGATGTCATTATATTAAACTTATCACAAGCACAAGCAACAAATGCAAAGACGTAATTACGTAAAACTTAAAAGCTTCTGCAAAGCAGAGAAAGCAATCAGAAGAATGAAGAAACAACTCAGAGAACGGAAGAAGTATTTGCAAACTCTGCATCAGCCAAGGGGTTAATACACAAAATACATAAATAACTGAAACTACTCAAAAGCAAAAATACAAATAATCTGATTTTAAAAAATCTACCCCAAACCTTTGTCCCCCACCACTATTTTCCCACCTTCTTTTCTCGACCGTCTTTGCCCCCTCCCCCTCACCACCCTTTTTCTTCCTCCATCTACCCCAAAACATTTTCCCCACTATTTTTTCCCCATTTTGTAAAGCCTTCTCTATTCTCCCGCTCACCACCCTTTTCCCCATCCATCTTCCCAAACACTTTCCCCAGTTTTTTCCCACCGTCTTTTCCCCTTCTCCCTGGCCACCTTCTTTTTCCCCGTCCCACTGTCATCACCCTCTTTTGCTCCTTCATCTAAGCAAAAACATTTTCCCCCGCCTTTTCCCAAAGCATTCTCCCCAATCCTGCTGCTCACCACTGTCTTTTCCCCCCTTCATCTACCCAAAAGTTTTCCTCGTCGTCTTTTCCTCCGCTCCTCCTTGCCACCCTCCTTCCCTTCCCCATTTACCCGAACACATTTCCCCATAGTCTTTTCGCAAAGCCGTCTCCCCACTTCTGCTCACCTTCCTCTTTCCCCCCTCCATCTACCCCCCAGAATTTTCCCCAACGTCTTTCACAGTCTTCCGCCCTTTCCCACTCGTCGTCTTCTCTGCCCTAGCCTGCCTGCCACTCTCTTTTCTGCCCTCCATCTACCCCAAATTATTTTCCCATTTTTTTCCCAACCCTCTTTCCCTGCTCCCTCTCGCCACCCTCTTTCCTCCTCCTCGTCACCCTCTTTCCCCCAGCATCTACCCAAACAGTTTTTACCCACCGTCTTTTCTTTCTCCACCGTCTTTCTTTGCTGCCCACTATCATTTTGCAAAACCTTGTCTTCCTCCCGCTGGCTACCCTTTTTTCTTCCCCCGCTTGTTACCCTCTTTCCCTCCCTCTATCTATTCAAAAACTTTTCTCCCCACTGTCTTTTCACAAAACCTTCTCTCCCTACCGCTCGCCCCCATTTCCCCCTCTACCACCCTCTCTTTCCTCCTCCCACTTGCCACCCTCTTTTCCAACTCCGACTACCCATAAACTTTTTCCCCACCGTCTTTCTGCAAAACCTTCCCTCCCTCTGCTCCCCACCCTGTTTTCCCCTCCATCTACCCAAAAACTTTTTTTCCCACCACCTTTTCCCCACTGTCTTTTTGCAACGCGTTCTCGTGCTCGTTATCCTCTTTTCCCTTCAGCACTAATCACCCTCTTTACCTCCCTCCATCTATCCCAAAACTATTTCCTGGTCTTACCGCTCCAGCCGCGCTGCCGTCTCCCGTCGCCGCCGCCGCCACCAACCTCAGTGAGGCGAGCCACGCGGCAGCGGGTCCAGCCTCCAGCACAGGCCTGTGATTACCCATTCCGGGTCCTCTAACCAGGCACCGAGCAGCTCTACGGGAAAATACGGGAACCTGGAAGGCCCTGACTTCCCTTCAGCAGCGTTCATGCACCGAGCTTATATACAGGAGGATTCCTGAACTGCGTGTTCTGATTGGATGAGAGAAAACCTCCAGGCCTACTCGGATTGCACTTTATTGTCATGCTCTGATTGGATGAGAGCAAGCCTTAAAACAACCAATCACAGCATGAAGATAAAGTCCAATCAGCGTAGGCCTAGAGGTTTTCCTCTCATCCAATCAGAACATGTAGTCCAGGCACTGCATGTATATAAAGCACGGTGAGGCCGGCATCGGCTCAGTTCAGTCTCTTCGGTGTCGGGGTTCAGTACCCGGGTTGGAGAACTAGGGAAAGCGGCTGCGAGCTGTTTCCGCCTGGAGCCCCAGGCGCTGGTCCGCTGCGGTTGGTGAGGGCGACCCACCGGTAGGAGGGCGACTGGCAGCGGGAGCTTGTCCTGCCCAGTAGGAAGACGATTAGACGGGAGAGGCATCGACACATGCTGGAGGCTGTAGCCTGCGCCCCAGCGGCTCGCCTCGTTGTGATTGGTGGTGACATCAGACACTGCAGCTCGGTCAGAGTGGTAGAAATGTCCTGGGGTAGGTGAGTTTTCCGGGGCTGCCCTGGCTGCCTCTGGGGGCAGGGGTTGGGTGTCCTATTGGGGCTCACTGCCCAAGGCTGCACTGCTTGTGTCTGGGGACCGGATGGGGGGCACTCTCCGGGGTTGCATTGCTGGCAGAGGGGGGATTGGCTGGCTATCGGGGCTACACTGCCTGCAATCGTGGGGGTGGTGGGGGGAGGCAGGTTGTGTGCGCTAACGTGTACTGTTGGTGGCGGGGGATGGGTTAAGGGCGCTATTTTTTGCTGCACTGCGCGGAGCAGTGGGTGGGGTTGGGTGGTTATCTGGAGCTAAAATGCTGGTAGTGGGGGGTGGTTTAGGGGTGTTGTCGGGTGCTGCACTGTCCTTACGGTGCACTATCAGGAGCATCACTGCCCATGGCGGGGTGTAGGGGGGCGATTTTAGGTCGCTATCTTGTGCAGCAATACCTGTCGTTGGGTCAGGTTGTGGGCACTATTGAGTGCTACACTGTCTGTGGAGGGGGTGGTTTGGGGGGATATTGGGATTACACTGCCTGCAATTGGTACGGGGTGTGTTGGGTGTGCTATGCGGGGGCTACACTGCAGGCGGCAGGGGTCAGGTTAGGGGTGCTATTGGAGGCTCTTGGCATTGGTGGGATGCGGAGGTGGTAGCCACAGCAACAGCTGTGGTCTCCTTCCCATTCTGGTGACTCTCTTCATTCTCAGACTCCAGACTCTAGAGCGTAATCTCCTGCTCGTGCAATCTTCAGCATGGCAGGGCCCCCACAACCACCATGGTTCTCCGGTCGGCACCCCCATGTTATGTGGGACCCGTAGACCGCCTGGGACTACGGGTAGGGATTAGTGGGCATCACAGGGGATTGTGGGTGGAGGCGTCAGGAACGGGAACCAGCACTTGGGTGGGGAGGACTGGCTGGGTCTGAGTTTCTCCTACTCCTGCTGCCCTAGGAGTGCAGCCCTGGTGGGCCCAGCAATGTCTGGCCGGCTGCACCTGGCCGGCTGTGGTTTCAGTGAAGGCACTCACACCCATTCTAGGCCCCAGTTCTGGTCAGCTTTTGCCAGAAACAGAGGCTGGGCTTTGGAGGGTCGGTGTGAGTGCCTTAGCTGAAACTGGTCCCTGCCACTCAGTGGCCAGCGTGACAAGGTGAGGCTCTAACGCTACCACTCTCTGCGTCCCTTTCTAGGCTTTTCTGGTTTTGCCTGCCCAGCTGCTTCAAGCCAGACTGGAGGAAGAGGAGGAGGAATCATGTGTGGTACACCTAGAGCCTGCATATGGCGTGACTCTGCAGCTCGTCTCATGCAATTGGTGGTGACTGGAGACTGCGGCTCGACTGGAGTGGTAGGAAGGTGCTTGCGGGGGAAAGGTGGTAGGAACTTTGTAGGGTGGGCTGCTGCATTGAGGGCGGGGTGCTGCATTGAGGGCAACAGCAGTTGTGTTGGCATCAGTGCTAGTGGTGGTAGTGGCAGCACGTCTGGGGGCGGGGAAGGGGGAGTAGGAGCGCTGCAGGGCCCAGCCCAACTTCAGGTGAGGAGGAATCTGCATGTGCTGTACTGTGGGCCTCAGTGGCAGTGGTGGAGGCACATCTAGGGAAAGGAGTTCTCTCTGCCCCTTCTCTTGTAATCTCTGGAAGGTGCCCTCCTCCTGCTGGTGAGTGAGCCAGACGTGAGTGGCAGCATTGTCTCATTCTTAACAAAATTTAGGGAGTGACTCTGTGTGTGTGTGTGTGTGTGTGTGTGTGTGTGTGTGTTTAGAGACGGAGTCTTGCTCTGTTGCCCAGGCTGGAGTGCAGTGGCAGACCTTGGCTCACCACAAGCTCTGCCTCCTGGATTCATGCCATCCTCCTGCCTCAGCCTCCCGAGTAGTTGGGACTACAGGCGTCCACCACCATGCCCGGCTAATTTTGTTTTTGTATTTTTAGTAGGGACCGGGTTTCACAGTGTTAGCCAGGGTGGTCTTGATCTCCTGACCTCGTGATCTGTCCACTGTGGTCTCCCAAAGTGCTAGGATTACAGGCGTGAGCCACCGCACCCGGCCCTTTTTTCCTTGTTTTTTGTTGTGATAGCCTTGAACTTTTTCAAATTTCATGAATTGGGGAGGAGATAAAAGGTATCATAGGTCTTCTAATTGCTGCACCTGTTCTTTTTTCTTTTTCTTAGTCTGTATTTTTTTCTTTTCATCTTGTTCGTCTTCATTTTCTCTTGCTGCTGTTTCTATTTCATGTTGCTATTGTTTCTCTTTTTGTTTTCTTTATGCCAACCCAATGGCCTTAACAAGCAAGCCAAAGTTGTCACTGTGCTGTATTTTAAAGTAACTGGTCCCTTACTGTGTTTTAGGGATGAGGAAAAAAATCAGTTGTACAATTAGTTACTTGAATAGCTATACTTTTATGATCGTGTTAAACCTCTTATGCCTAGTGTTCCATTATTGGAATGCTAAGCATGAGGGAGTTATTTACATCCTGCTGGTGAAAGTCATTGACAAGGTCTGATTTTTTCACTCATGCAAAAATTCAACTGTATACACTGTGTACAGTTTGTAGTCTCTTATTCTTCCCCTCCTCCCACTCTTTCTCCCAAGTCCCCAAAGTCCGTTGTAGTATTCTAATGCCTTTGCATCCTCATAGCTTAGCTTCCACTTACCAGCGAGAGCATACGATGTTTGCTTTTCTATTCTTAACGTTACTTCACTTAGAATGGTAGTCTCTGATCCCATCCAGGTTGCTGTGAATGCCATTATTTTTTCCTTTTCTATGGCCGAATAGTATTCCGTAAGATACATATGTATGTATGTGTATATGTATATGTATCACAATTTCTTAATCTACACCCTGATGGGCATTTGGGCTGGTTACATACTTTTGCTATTGTGAATTGTGCTGTTACGAACATGCGAGTGCAAGCATCTTTTCTCCTTTGGGTAGATACCCAGTAATGGAATTGCTGAATTAAATGGTAGTTCTACTTTTAGTTCTTTAAGAAATCTCCACACTGTTTACCATGGTGATTGTACTAGTTTACATTCCGACTAGGAATATAAAAGTGTTCCTTTTTCACCAAATGCCCATCAATATTTTTTATTTTTTGATGTTTTGATTATGGGCATTCTCGTAGGAGTAAGGTGGCATGGCATGGTGGGTTTCCTTTTTTTTGAGACGGAGTCTGCTGTGTTGCCAGCCTGGAATGCAGTGGTGCAACCTCGGCTTACTGCAACTTCCTCCTCCCGGGTTCAAGTGATTCTCCTGCCTCAGCCTCCCGAGTAGCTGGGACTAAGGTGCCCACCACCATGCCCGGCTAATTTTTGTATTTTTAGTACAGATGGGGTTTCACCATGTTGGCCAGTGTGGTCTCGATCTCTTGACCTCGTGATCCACCTGCCTCAGTGTCCCAAAGTGCTGGGATTTCAGGCGTGAGCCACCACTCACGGCCCGACATTGTGGTTTTGATTTACATTTCCCTGATCATTAGTGATGATGACCACTTTTTCATATTTGGTGGACATTTTTTATATCTCCTTTTCAGAATTTCTATTCAAGTCCTTAGTTCCTTACTTGAAGGGATTGGTTTTTTTCCTGGTAATTTGAATACCTTGTAGATTCTGGATATTAGTCCTTTCTCAGATGTATAGATTGTGAACATTTTCTCCCTTTCTGTGCGTTGTCTGTATACTCTGCTAATTGTTTCTTTTGCTGTGCCGAAACTTGTTGGTTTAATTCTTACCTATTTATCTTCATTTTGTTGTTGTTGCGCTTGCTTTTGGGTTCTTGGTCATGAAGTCTTTGCCTAAGCCAATGCCTAGAAGGGTTTTTCCAGTGTTATCTTCTAGAATTTTTATGGTTTCATGTCTCAGATTTAAGTTGACTTTCGTATAACGTTCGAGATGGGGTCCCAGTTTCATTTCTTGGCATGTGGCTTGCCAGTTATCCAAGCACCATATGTTGAATAGGGTGTCCTTTCCCCACTTTTGTGTTTTTGTTTGCTTTGTTAAAGACCAGTTGGCTGTAAGTATTTGGATTTCTGAGTTCTCTATTCTGTTCAATTGGTCTATGTGCTTATTTTTAGACCAGTACCATGCTGTTTTGCTGACTATGGCCTTGTGGTAGATTGAAGCCAGGTAATGCAATGCGTCCAGATTTGTTCTTTCTGTTTAGTCTTGCTTTGGCTATGTGGTCTCTTTTTTGATTCCATATGAATTTTATAATTATCAGGAGCCACTGGGTGCTGCGGCAGCTTCAGGATAACTTGAGGGCGCATCCTAGGAAAGAAACACCTCCTGTCCGTGTCGCCGACTGCTGAGGATAGCAGTTCGGTGTGGCTTCTCCGTGGCCCAGCTTCTTTAGGGTGTTTTTCTTTCATGGTGAGTACAGAAGCTTTCGTTTTCTGGAATGTTCTGTGTATTTCTGCTAGATTCTCCTTTTTTCTCTCTTGATACTTTAGCATTAATTTTACAGTAGTACTTATTCCCTGAGGGCTTTCGAGGTTGGAACGTGTAGGAGGCTTTAGGGCTGTTTTTTAGGGAGATTCCCCATGTAGGTGGAGAGAGAGGAAGGCTCTGGCTGTGGGAGGAAGGGGGAGCCCGGCCCAGATGGCGTGTTGGGGCCAGGCCGCAGTTTGGCTGCCTCGCTTTCAAGCCTCAGGTGGAAGGAAAGGATCCAACTTAAACTCCAGGGTTTGCTGATTTTTTAATTATTTTTATTTTTTTGGAGATACGGTTTTGCCTTGTCGCCCAGGCTGGAGTGCATTGGTGGATCTCAGCTCACTGCAACCTCCATTTACTGGGCTCAAGGGATTCTCCAGCCTCAGCCTCTCCAGTATCTGGGCCTATGCCCCATGCCCAGCTATTTTTTTTTCTTTTTTTTTTGTATTTTTGGTAGCGACGGGGTTTCGCCATGTTGCCTAGGCTTGTCTCAAACTTCTGAGCTCAAAGCAACTTGCCCAAATGCTGGAATTACAGGCATTAACTACTGCGCCCGGTCTGCTGAATTTTAAAATCTGTGTCCCTGCCGTTGGAACATAGCGGTCACTTTTCTCCACTCCGTGCAGTGCTTGCCTAACTCTGTTCCTCTAGTCATGGCCACCTGACTGAGGGAAAGGACCTTGTATGTGGTTTAATGTCCTCTTTGCAGAAATGTCTATTCAGGGTCTCTGCTCCGTTTTGGGTGAATCGCTGTTTTTTGTTGTTGTTGTTGCTACTTAGTACTGTTAATGTGTTGCATAACAACCTCCATTAGCCAATATGTGATTCCTCAAAACGTTCTCCCAGCCTTTCTCTTTGGGCTCATTGTTTCCTTTTCCTTGCAAAAACTTCTCACTTTGATATAGCCATGCATGTTTTCTTATGGCCAGGCATGAAAGTTCATACCTGTAATCCAAGCACTTTGCAAGGCCAAGGTGGGATCACTGGAGCCAAAGAATTTGAGACCAGCCTAGGCAACGTGGGAAAATTTCATCTCTACAAAAAATACAAAAAAATTAGCCAGGCGTGGTGGTGTGTTCATGTAATTCCTGCTATTCAGGAGGCAGAGGTGGGAGGATCACTTGTGCCGGGGAGGTCAAGGCTGCAGTGAGCCATGATCATGCCACCGCACTCCAGCCTGAGTGACAGAGTCCCTGTAGTTATCACTTCTATGATTCCCTCCAATTTTCTAACAAGTTTTTGAGATGGTCTCATACTCTTTAGGCTGGAGCACAGCGGCATATCAGGGATTGTGAGTCCTCCAACTCAGTTTCTGTTTCTCAGGATTCCTTAGACATTCCGGGCCATTTGTGGTTCTATATGACCATTAGCATTGTGTATTCACATTTCTTAAATTTCTGTGCATAATAAAGTATATAATTAGAGAGTATGCTGGGACAGTTGTTCCTCTGGGATGTTTTGATTCATGTATATTTTTACTAATGATCAAATCAGGGTACTTGCCACATCTGTTCTCTCACACAGGTATTCTTCTTTTGTGAGAACATTGGAATTGCTCCATTCTAGCTTTTTTGAAAAATACAGTATTTTGTTAACCACAATTACCGAGCTGCGAGCTGTGGTATAGAGAACAAGAATGTATCTGTCCCAACTAACTGCAACTTTGTTTCCATAACCAATCCTCCCATTCCCTCCTTTCCCTCTCCTCAGAAAACCACTACTGTGCCTTCTACTTATCGAAGGCAGAGTTTTCTGGATTCCATATAACAGATGAATCTGTGCTTGTTTTTCTATGCCTGGCTTATTTTATTTAACATATTTTCCAGGTTCATCCATATGGCTCCAAGTGAAAATTATGTTGTTGTGGATGAAGAGTATTGCGTTGTGCAGATATACTGCAGTTTCTTCATCCCTTCATCTGTGGATGGAAAGGTAGGTTGATTCCATACCTTCTGTATTGTAAATAGTGTCATGAAACATGGGAGGGCAGGTAACTTCTTAAGGTACTGGTTTCCTTGGCTTTAGATGCATATGCAGTGTGAGGAATACCCTAACTTTTTCACAGCGTATTCACTAATTCACATTGGCATCAATAGCGTATCAGAGTTTTCCTTTCTGTAAGTCTGCACTGGCTGCTACCTTCCAAAAATGCTATTGCTATTTTTGGTGATATTCATTCTCAGTGGAATTTGATGGTAACTGATACCGGGGTGTGATTCTGACTTACATGTTTGGAGTGATTAGTGATGTGGAAAGTCTTTAGTTTCACCTGTGGATCAGTTTCGTGTCATTTGCAGAAGTGGTTGTGCAGGTCGTTTGCATGTTTTTAGCTTGTGTATTAATCTTTTCCCCACTTGGTAGCCTTAATGCTTGAATATGTTAAATAACAACCCCTTCCAAAATTACGATTTCCCACAATTTTAACCCAATCATTCTTTCCACCAAGGTAAGATGCTTTCTCTTTGGGTTCATTGTTTTCTTCCCAGTGCAGAAGCTCTAAAATGTTTGTCTCACAGGTTTATATTTGCTTTTGTCAGCAGGGATTTCTGTGTCCAATCAGAGAAGAAAAAAAGAGATCACAAAGTCATTGTATTGTCTATAGGTATTTTCCCCATAAGTGAGACCATGTGGTGTTTGGTTTTCTGTTCTTTCTTAGTTTGCTTATCATAGTGACCTGCAGGTCCATCCTTGTTGCTGTCAAGGACATGAATTTTTTTAAACTATGTAGGATGTTGTAGTATCTATGTACAGCACTTTTAAAACATCTAATCAGCTGTTAAGGGGGAACATAGATGGATGTTATTTTATATTTCCATGTGAATAGCACTTCCAAGAACATACCCATGCCTGTGTCATTTTGAAAGAAGGATTTATGATTAATTCTTTATGTGTAGATACCCAGTTATGCAATTGCTCATTTGGATGGTAGTTCTAAGTTCTTTGAGGAACCTCTAAACCACTTCTCATAGCGTGAGAACTAGTTTTTATTCCCACCACGAGAGTAGCAGCGTCTGCTTTCCTCTGCTGCTTTGCTACCATGTAAATGTTTGGACTTAGGACAAGTGGCCATTCTGACCGACGTGAGACGGTATCTCCGTGTGTGTGAGAGTTACATTTCTCTGATGATGAGTGATGTCGAGGTGTTTGTTCGTGTTCTCTACCCATTGCTTGAATAGTTTGTTTTTCTGCCTCTTGATTTTTTTTAAGGTCATGTTAGAGTCTGGCTATTAGACCTTGCTGAGAAGCATAGTTTGGGAACATTTTCTCCCATCCCGTAGGCTGTGTGTTTACTGTGCTGGTGATTTATTTTGCTATCTGGCAGTGTTACAGTTTCTTAGGCCCAACTTGTCCTTTTGGTTTTTCTTGCTGTTGCATTTTGTCTAAATGCTTTCCAAAGCCTGTATTGAGAAAGATATGTCCAAGGTTTCCTTGTAGGGACTTTCATAGTTTGAGATCTTCTACTGAAATCTTTCATTCATCTTGGGTTAGTTTTTGCATCTGACGAGAGTTAAGGCTTCAGTGTTACTCATGTACATGTGGCTAGGCACCTAGCCCAGTGCCCTTCATTGCAGAGTGAGCCTTTTGTCTATCTGAGCTTTGGAGTTTCAGGGCATTTTGTGGTCCCATGGGAATTTTAGCATTGTTTCTCTATGTTGCTTTCAAGAAACAAGATTAGCTCTGTCCTAAAGATGTACAACTAGAGGGCAGAGTGGGACATTTGGGGCCGCGCATGCATCGTATAGGGATGAAATCAGGGTATTTAGTGTCATTTTTTGCCTTGTAGAGTTTTCATATATTTGAGTGAGGAGAGCGAGAACCCTCCTTTCTGGCTGTCTTGAAAACTACCCTTTGGTAAAGTTTTCCCTAATCATCCTGCTGAGGAATAGAACAGCAAGTTTCATTCCTCTTAATGCAGCGTGTCACTTTGTACCTGTTTCCTATGCCCACCCATGCCCAGCCTTCTGTTCCAACCCTGGCAGGCCCTATGGTTCTTTGTAGGTCTGTGTGAGATAAAGTTTCCTAGATTCTTCTCGAGGGAGGTGATGCGAGGTTTGTCTTTCCCTGCCTAGGGTGTTTTCATTTACCATGATGTCTTCCAGGTTCCACCATGTTGGTGCGGATGACCTGATTGCGGTACCCGTGTCTGGGTGAAGAGGATCTGGTGTGACTAGATGCTGCAGTTTCTGAATCCCATTCTCTGTGGGTGGACAGGTAGGTTGATTCCTTATCTTGGCTATTGTGACTGGTGCCACAGTCAGCGTGGGAAGGCAGATACGTCTTCCGTGTACTGGTTTTGTATGATTCCAGTAGCAGCACAGCTCAGTGAGAAATGGTCGTATTTTTAGTTTTCTGAGGAACCTCCAAGTGCTCTGTAGTGTGAGTACTAATTTACCTGTTAACAGCTGTGGATAAGAGAGCTCTCTGTTCTCTGGAAATTGACAGCAGCATTTGTGGTTTCCCTTCTTTGGAGATACATGAAGGGCTTTGTAATACTCCTTCCACCGAGAGGGACACAAGCAGTATCAGAGTCTTGTTTGATTTTCATTTTTGCCATGATTAATGATGTTAACCAGGCGTTCACAAACAGACTTGTTTTCAGTTTTATATGTTCTTTGCAGAAAAGTCTCTCTGTCCAGTTTTGGTTTGGTAATTAATTTCTGTTTTCCGGTGTTTTTTGCTAGTTAGTAATGTTACTTACGCCTTTTCCAAGAAATGCCTCATCGACAGTGTGTTTCTCCGAACCCTTCTTATCATCCTTCGTATGTTTCTTTCTTTTTATTCATATTTTTCATTCATTCTTGCCCAGAAGCCATGTGGTCTGGTGCAGTTTCAGGTGCGCGCAGTGTTCTGGTTTTCCCTTAACACTGGTGACTGATGAAGTTAAAGAAATTCACTAGCATGTCAATCTGTTGCCAGTGAGTTTTGGTTGTTGGTGGTTTGTATTCTTTTTTGTCTTTATTTTTTTTGTTGTTATTTTCCTTTTTGTAAACCATGAGCACAGATCCAGGTTGACCCTGGTATCTGCACACTATATGCTTTCTTCCTAGAGAGTGACTTTTTCAAGTTCTGGGTGTAGGTCTTTCATTCGTGTTGAATGAATTATTGTGAATTTTGCACAATAAGGATCCTGTGTTGTTATTTTCCTAGGGATATCCAGTTCCCCAAACGCTGTGTTGGGCAGACTCTCCCTTTCCAGGGTGACTTTTGTGGTTCTTTTCAAACATGTGCTTATTCTATGTTGTGAAAGGAAGATATCTTGGTCCCTCAAAATCACTAAGGAAGACTCAGGCTGGAAACTGCTTAGGGCCATCTTGCCTCCCATTCTATTCAAAGTCACTCCTCTGCTCACTGAGATAGACGCATATCTGATTGCCTCCTTTGGAGAAGCTAACCAAAAACTCTTAAGTAATGTAATTATTTGTGTATCACTTATCTGTGACCTTGAAGCTCCCTCCCTGCTTCCAGTCTTCCTGTCTTTGCTTAAAGTTGTTCAGCCTTTCCAGAACGAACCTATGTACTTCTTAACGTGTTTTGATTGATGTCTCATGTCTCTCTAAAATGTATAAAATGAAACTGCCGTGGCCACGTTGGGCACATGTTGTCATGACTTTCTGATGCTTTGTCACGAATGTGTCCTCAACTTTGGCAAAATAAACTTTCTAAAATTAACTGAGACCTGTTTCAGATTTTCTGGGTTCACTTTTTGGTAACCACGGGGAGATTCTCCTGACCTTTGGCAAGTCTCCTGTCAGTGCTTTGGGACCAGCGTGAGCTCACTTTATGACCCAAACCAATAGGACAATTTGCTGAGGTCTGAGAGCACCCCCTCCAGAGAATTCCTCATCTCCCAAAATTTGGTCAAGATCTAAAGTTTATTTTGCTGTACAACTCCTTTTTTTTTTTTCTTTTTTTTTCTTTTTTTTTTTTTTTTGGAATTTTGCTTGCGTCCATCAAGAAGACAAGTTTTCATACCTCCATGATGTTGGAAGACAGATGCCTCCTTTGTGGGATTGGAGCTCACTTCTTCTAATAGGCAAGTGTTTTTTCTCCTGCTTCTAGGATGGTAGAGAGCAGTTTACAGCCTGAGACCCATTACTAAGTAAGAAACTGGTTTTGGATTCTGTCTTGCAAATTCCTTTTAAAGAATAAAGTTAACATTTAACAACCAGCCGGTGTTAATTTCTGCTTACCCTTAGAGTGCTCAGGTACCATAATTTGTGTGACCATTGGCAGTTTAGCAGCATTTTGTCCTAGCTGAAATATGGTGATAAGATTAAAAGAGCTTTGTTTAAAGGAACACAATTGTGTAGAAGTCACCTTAATTAAAAGGGTAACATCCAGATGTGTGTGCAAGTGTGTATTTGAAAGGCCTTCATGTTTTTGGTTTTTCTGTTTGTTTCACTCTCCTAAGACCTTGTCTTTTTTTTGTTGTTGAGCAAACGTATTTATTTTTGTCTTGTCAGTTGACTGAATTTTGTTTTCACCTGATTTTTTTTTTTGACTGAAATAGTTATTGCAACAGAGACCACTCTTGGGTTTTTAAGGAAGAATGTAGTTAAATTTTGTGTTTAATTTGACTCAGAGAAAAATATTAGTGTCTCCCTCTAGCACCACTAGACTTTTTCTTCCTGTACTTTATGAAGTAAATTTGGCTATTTGATTTTCACCTGAGTTGTTTCCTTTAATGTTCAAATTTCAGGCTATTAGTTGACAACTGCCTAGGGTGTTGTGAAACAAGTTATCAAGAATCTGAAAGTCTAAGACAGGAAATAAAAAAAGGGGGGGAGTCTTTAAATCTATAAAATGTACTGTAGCAGCCCAATGGGTTTACCTTGCCTGCTGCCTAGACAGAACCGATTTATCAAGAGGAATTGCAGTGGAGAAAGAGTAATTCACGCAGAGCTGGCTGTGTGGCACACCAAAACTTATTATGCAACTGGGTCTCCCTGAGCATTCGGGGATCAGAGTTTTTAAAGATAACTAGGTGGGTAGGGGCTTGGGACATGGGGAGTGCTGATGAGTCAGGTTGGAGATGGAATCATAGGGGGTTGAAGTTGGGTTTTCTTGCTGTCTTCCATTTATAGGTGTGATGGCACAATTGGTTGGGCCAGATTACGGGCCTAGGCAGGGTCTGCAACACATATCAAGCCCTGATCTTAGGTTTTACAGTAGTGATGTGATGTTATCCGCAGGAGCAATTTGGGGAGGTTCAGACTTTTGGAGCCGGAGACTGCATGACCCCTAAACTGTAAATGCTAATCTTGAAGCTAATACATTAGTCCCGCAAAGGCAGACTGCTCCCCAGGCAAGAAGGGGTTCTTTTCAGGAAAGAGCTGTTACCAATTTGCTTTCAGAGTCAAACTGTAAACTAAATTCCCTCCCAAAGTTAGTTCAGCTTACACCAAGGAATGAACCAAGGACAGCTTACGGGTTAGAAGCAAGATAGAGAGTTGGTTATCTCTGATTTCTTTCACTGTCATAATTTCCTTAATTATAATTTTGTAAAGGCGGTTTCAGTATTTCCATCAATGTGCCTAATAGATTTTTATATGTATTTGTGTGTTGTGTACAGAATGTTCCACTACTAAAAATGCTCTAATTGGCTTAAAGAAAAATAAAAGCGCTTAAGTTAGATACTAAAAAAGACTAGTCCATTGCTTTTTCAACTTTATGTAACTTAAGTAAAATCTTTAATAAATAAGCTAGCTTTAAAATTATTGGTAAAATAATATTAGAAATGTCTTAAGAATTGGCAGCATACATTTTTGTTTACATTTAGTAATAAACCAATTTCAAACGTATTCCTGCCAAATACTATAAGGTGTCAAAATTTGGCATTGGGGTTTCAAAACTATAAACCCAGCCCAAAACAGAATGATCTTTACTTGAGTAATTTTTAATAAGATGTTGATATGGGTTTAATAAAAATAGCTGCATGTTGAATTTAGTAAGATTACTAGCACTTCTAGTCCTGTGGCTTTTGGTTGTCTAGTCCACAGATAATAAGGAAAGGACTGCTACTGCCTTTGTTTCAAAGCTAAATTAGAAACCAGGTTCCTCCCAGTGTTAGTTCAGCCTATGGCCAGGAATGGACAAGGACAGCTTGGAGATTATGAGCAAGATGGAGCCAGTTAGGTAAAATCTTTTTTTCACTGTCTCAGTTATAATTTTGCATTGGTGGTTTTATAACTTTAAATCACGACTATCACAGATTTCATAAATCTAGGTAAAACAGGTAAATATAATGGGATAAATACTTGTAGACAAACTGGTCATGATTTAGAATATAAAGTTAAGTTAAATAATAGATATTTCATTATTTGGGTATTTTCCAATACACATATCTTGTAGGAAAACATTCTTGCCAAAAGAAGTGTGTCTTTTCTAAAAAGAAGAAAAAAAAAGAAAAGATCAACAAGTTTTGTCTAATTCAAACCTTACATTATATATAAAACAAGGTAAAATGAACCAGGGAATAAAAAACAGATGTAAAGAAAGTTGTCAAGAGGTTGTTTTTTGAGGTAAAAAGAGCTTAAAGAGAGATACTATTGTATAAGAAAGATTCCTGTATAGTAAGTTTAGTCCTAAAATAAAATAACTGGTTGTTTAAAAAGAAGGGATGTTCAGAACACATTAGAAAGTCTGACCATGTCATGAACAGTCAGTGTAAAGCCACAACAAGGATTTATGTATTTAAAAAACCCAAAAATTTTTATATAATAAAGTTGTCATATTAAGTTTTGGTTTGCTTAGGAAAAACTGAGATTTTTAAAAATCTAGGTTATTACGTTTGTGTATCTTCCTGTATATGCTTTCAAAATCCTTGCAACATTGAGTTACAGGCATTTACCTCCTAGGTCTAAAAAGGACACTAAGTCCTGCTAAATTTTAAACACTCACAGCAATTAAAGCCTCATTTTCAGGACCCATAGAAGATGCCGATTTAAATAAACTGCTGCCTTCCTGAGATACAGGGCAAGAAATGATGAAAGCTATTCAACTCCTCGAGACCCAGAGACCAGTGAAAGAGGTAGGAGCGTAAGATTGTAAGGGCCGATTTTGAAAGGTAAGGTAAGTTCAGTTTCTCTGTACATTAATTACTAATGTCAAAGGCACACTGATGCAAAACCAGTACACGGACCCCTGTGTCAGATGAACAAGGTCTTCTTGAAGCATTAACCAGCTCCTTATTAGAGGTTACAAAAGGCTTATGGAAGTTATATTTTATAATCAGGATTACATTTTATAGATTGTTTACAAAAATTTTAAAACCAAATGTAATTGACTTTATGCTGTTTTTATTATGGTCTCTTGTTTAGAAAATTAAGTCTCCTGTCTCAAAAAAGGAAGGTTTTCACTTTTTAAAAAATTCTTGAACTATCACGTTGGTTAAATAAATGACTTTACAATGACCTGTAATCCTATTTTTTAATATCAAGTGTTTTAAATATTTTATATTTGACGGACTTTCCAAAATCAAATTATATATTATGTTTTTTTCTATCCTGAATAATCCTTTAAGACATTAGGTTCTTTAAAGTCTAAAAATAGCATAATTTGGCTTATCTGGTATAAAATTTATACAGGAAACATTGTCAAATATGAGATGGTGTTTGGCTTTCTTTCGGATCCATTTGTATAAATATGTTATTGGTATGTTTCCAAAATGATGGGAAATTCCTGTAATTCTGATATAACTTTAGTGTACATTGTTTGTAATAATCATAATTGTTATGTTAAAATTATTGTGTGCCTCAGAGGTAATAAATTCACTTGTCAGTTGTGTCTTTTAACTATGGCTGCCTTAACTTTCTTTCCATCCACAGATAGTTGTCTTGTTTTAAACCCTCTTTGTAAGGTGGGTTTATAATCAGCTATAGGACTCTAATAGGTGCACTTAAGTTCAGGTTTTCTGATAATTTTGGAAATTGTTACATTGGAATAAGGCAAAAAATTTCAAAACTCTCATGGAGAGCTGAAATGTTCATGACTATCAAACAGAACAGGAGTTAACTGAAATAACTGAGTCAATAGAACACTGAAGTAATTTTTTTGACTTTTCGCTTAAAACATTGCTGATACTTTTAGTTTTTCAGAGTTAAGAAACTTTTAAAGTTACTTACAGCTTTTAACAATAAATTATTGTATATTCCTGTGCACAAAATTTGGAGCGTATTTGTTCTCTACCTAATTTCTCCAGAATTTGGAGACTGTGAGTATTGTAAATTTATGGCAATATAGTTATTTGCATAAGTACAATAAAAATCTGTTTTATTTTGCAGTAAGACACAGTTGGAGAATTTGGTTATTTTATCAAGGGTTGGACTGAAATGGTGTGCTTTCCTTTAAGGAATCAGACTTACGAAGCCAATAAAGCCCTTCGAAAAGCTGGCCTCATATTTTGTGTGCACAGTCCCTGTATAGGGTTTTGACCTGTGGTAAATAATGTCACTTGCTGACAGGTGCAGAAGCCCCGGTTTATCTTGGAACCTCAAGAGAAGAGGAAATTCACTGAAATCATAGGTATTTGATGGCACAAATCCGTGGTTGGGCTTTGCTTTAAAAAAGTCTTATCTAAGATTCCTCCTATGGAGCAAAGTTCTGTCAAAGCCAATTTAAAAGCCCAGGTAAAAAATAATTATTGTTGCACTGTATGCAAATTATTAGGCCAAGTATAATAAAGCAAATCAATTCTAACATGATTTATCTTTAGTAAAAATGGAAAACTGGAGGGAAAAAATTATGTTTCAAAACTACAGTAGACCTGTGTTTAGATTCTAGTCTTGCCTACTTTTTTTTTTCAACTTTTATTATTTTCTACAGCTTGGACCGAATTCTAAGTTTTCTTGGCTACAAGTCTTTAAAATAGTGTTTTCAATTTTTTTTTTTCAATTAGTCCTAAACTAAGCTGTGCTTTCTTAAAACGCTGAGAACTGAAGCCAAACAACTTAAACTTCAGAAGAAAATAACAGCAACTTGTTTACATACATAAGCCACTTTCATACCTGCCTACTGATGTATGGACTGCACAGTAATGTGGCTTATGTTTATTTTTCCAGGATTGTTCTTTTGTTTGTTGTTTTTTCTCCCTTCCTCCAGCCTATTTTAACTTCACAGGATGTGAGACTTCACAACCTGCTAAAAATGAGCTTTTGGGAGCTTTCTAGGAATAAACCCTCCTAGCCATGAGAGATCAGATGAAACCCGAGACCGGAGACTCATTTTCTTGTAAAATGCTTTTTCCAAAAGATTTTTTTTAACAAGAAAAGGGGGGAATTGTGAAAGGAAAATATCTTGGGCCCCTAAAATCACAAAGGAAAACTCAGGCTGGAAACTGTTTAGGGCCAGCCTGCCTCCCATTCTATTCAAAGTCACCCCTCTGCTCACTGAGATAGATGTGTGTCTGATTGGCTCCTTTGGAGAATCATCAGAAACTCAAAAGAATGTAATCATTTGTGTATCACTGATCTGTGACCTGGAAGCTCCCTCCCTGCTTCCAGTCTTCCTGTGTTTGCTTCAAGTTGTCACACCTTTCTAGACCAAAGCAATGTACTTCTTACATATATTGATTGATGTCTCATGTCTTCCTAAAATGTGTAAAACCAAGCTGTGCCCTGACCGCCTTGGGCACATGTTGTCATGACCCTGAGACTGGGTCACGAGTGTGTCCTCAATCTTGGCAAAATAAACTTTCTAAATTAACTGAGACCTCCTTTTGAGTTTGCTGCTGGGCATCCTCCTTGTGTTCATTGGCCTGTGTTTCTCTGTTAATGCCTATCACGAATTGCTTGGGTAACTAAAGCTTTGGGAAGTAATTTAAAATGGAAGAGTGTGACTCTACTCGAGACTTTGTATGTGTAGGAACTGCTTTGGGAATGCGTGACACTTCATTGTCCTACGGGATTTTTAGTAGTGTGTTGTGATCCTGTTTGGAAAACAAAAATATCACATGGTCTGTGTTTTTACGTAAAGGGTGCAAGGGACCTTTTTACATGAATCAATGAAACTGCAGGACCTAGCATCTCTGTTTCATGCTACAGTGAGGATTTCTTGATGGAGAGAGCATTCTGAATCCTTTTCAGCAATATTGAATGTTATGCTTCAATATTGTTAAGCCTAGTCACCCTGCTGTGCCGTAGAACACCAGAGTACCTGCGTGTCATCTGAGCATCCCTTTGTAGCCATTTCCAGTTCTCCCCTCAGCCTCTGGTACCCACTGTTGACACTGTTGTTCTATGAGATTCACTTTGTTAGATTCCATGTGCATGAGATTATGCAGTATTTGTGTTTGTCTTCCTCTCCCTCTCTCATTTTTTTATTTTAATGTTCTCCAGGTTTCTCCATCTTGCTGGTAGTGAACTGATGTCCGGAATTTTGGTGGCTGAAGAGTATACTTGTGCATAAATCCTTCAACTCCTGCATTTTTTCAGCTGTGGAAAGACAAGTGGGTTGATTCCTACACCTTGGTTATTGTCCAGAGTACTTCATGAAACACGGGAAGGGAGATCCCTCCTTAAGGTAGGTTTCCTTGGCTTTGCGGGTGTAGCCAGTGTTGGGATGGCTAGAGGAACTGGTAGTTGTGGTGGTTCAGAAACCTCCAGCTGGCCGGGCGCGGTGGCTCAAGCCTGTAATCCCAGCACTTTGGGAGGCCGAGATGGGCGGATCACGAGGTCAGGAGATCGAGACCATCCTGGCTAACACAATGAAACCCCGTCTCTACTAAAAGTACAAAAAAATTAGCCGGGCGTGGTGGCGGCGCCTGTAGTCCCAGCTACTTGGGAGGCTGAGGCAGGAGAATGGCGGGAACCTGGGAGGCGGAGCTTGCAGTGAGCCGAGATCGTGCCACTGCACTCCAGCCTGGGCGACAGAACGAGACTCCGCCTCAAAAAAAAAAAAAAAAGAAACCTCCAGCTGTTTCTCCCAGTGAGTATAAGAATTTGCATTCTCACTAGTAGTACGTAGGAGTTCCTCTGTCCGCAAATCTACACTGCCCTTATCTTCACAAAGTTTTACTGCTGTTCCTGGTCATACTCGTTCTCTGGGGAGTTTGATAGTATCTGAGTGTGGTTGGGATTTACAATTTGGGGGATGATTACTGATACGGAGAAACGTTTCTGTTACCCGAGAGTCTGTTTCAGGTTTTTTCAGAAATGCCTATGCCAGTCCTCTGGGCGTTTAAAAGCGTGTGTATTGGATTTTATGTTTTTGTCCACTTAGGACCATTAGTTTCTTGAATATGTTAGAGAGGAAGCCCTTCCAGATCACAGTTTTCCATAATTTTCTTCCAGTGTGCAGGATGCCTTTTATTTGGGTTCTCTATTTTCTCTCCTTTGTTGAAGCTGTGTGAAGCTCTGAAGTTGTCCTTAGTTTCACATGGTTGCATTAGCTTTTGTTAGCAGTGATTTCTGTGTCCCTTTGAGAAGAAAAGCGAGATGGTGAAGCCATTGTATGGTCTATGGGTATTTGGTTCCTATGTCTTCCTTTTCTGTTTGTAGCTTAGGTTCACAGGTTCAAGTTTCCCCACAGTGGACACGCACCCTGTGCGTTTTCCTTGGAGATTTTTGGTTTCAGAATTGCAGTTAGGTGTTCAGTGGATTTTGTGTTGCTTTGTGTGTCTTGTGTAGAGGAAGGGTTTATTTCAGTCTTTTGCACGTGACCCCCCCATTTCCTCAACCATTGCGCCTTTGGTGTGCTTTTGGGGGAAAACAAGAATCCCTTGGGTTCAGTGTTTATAATTTTGGGTTGATTATTTGACTCCTTCATTGTGTCCATTCGGTTGTCTTTCTGTGTTCATGCCGCTAATGGGTGGATTGGACTTTTTGTTTTGTGAGTTTTCTTCCTTTTTTCTATTTCTATTTCCAAAGCTGGGTTTTCTAAAACGATAGCTACTTTTATTGTGCTCGAGGGGTACACCTGCAGATTCAGTTCCCTACACGGTTATACGGTAGAATTTTGATGCTTGGGGTCCTAATGTGCCCGTCACCCAGGTAGTGAACGTAACACCAGTTGGGTCTTTCTTCCTCCAAGGCTCCCTGTTTCCTTTCTTTTTCTGTCTGGTAATACCCAGCGTCTGTTGATTTCATCTTTATGTTGATGTGTATTGGGTGTTGAGCTTCCACTTACATATGAGAACCTGCAGTGTTTGATCGTCTGTTCTTGCCTCAGTTGCTTAGCAGAGTGGCTTCCAGTTCCACCCATGTTCCTACTGAGGGCATGATTTTGTTTCTGTGTTTGATTTTCCTTAGTGGCTTTTTAGCATTCTGCGATGTATAGGTACCACGTTTTTAAAAATCAGATTTTCTGTTGGTGTGCATCTAGGTCAGTTCCACGTCTTTATTCCTGTCAGTAACACTCTTGTGGACATGTGAGTGTCAGTGTCTTTTTGATAGATGCATGTATTTTTCCCTTGGGTAGATGCACGGGGTGGGATTGCTGGGTCAAAGCGTAAGCTCTGCTTTCTATCCTTTTTTTTTTTTTCCAGAAATCTTCAGATTGGTTTCCACAGTTTGAGATCTAGTTTGCATTACCTCCAAGAGAATAGCCGTGCTTGATTTTCTCTGCTGCAACACCAGCATGTTATGTTTTGACAGGACAAATGGCCACTCTGACCAGCGTGTGATGGCACTGGTACCTCATCTCTGATGATTAGTGATCTGGAGCATCCCCCAGGCCTGTTGAAATAGCAATCCCTTGGAAATGTCTTCTCAGTTATAACCCGTATGTATGTTGCTCAGGCTACTGTGTGGCCCCAGCACTGTTGGTTTGCACTGGGACTTGGGGATTGTTTGTCATTGTTACCCAGGAAAAATGTTACACTGCTTTTCCTACAGTGAGTAGTGGGAGTGGCGTATGGGGACATACGCTTATGCCCACAGTTCCATCAGAAATCCCACTGCCTTAAGACAGTCTCACGGCAACCCAGTCCCAGCCTTGCAGCACCGGGTAACCCTGTGGCGTTCTGACATTGGGTGTGTCTGCATTGTTAAGGTCATTCAGCACATTGCCATGCATTTATCCACTTCGGTCAATGTTAAGGGAAGTTCATTGCCTCTGCTTCTTCAGTAACTGATGTCTGGTGCATCAACTGAATGCATTTCAGGCTTATAAGGAGTTCACCTGAATCTATGGGTAAAAAAGCTTTTCACCATGCCCACCTCCCCAGTGAGTGACCAGTGTCTCATTATTAATGCATCTGATGGCACAGAGTTGTAGTGGTCTGAGGGAGGTCAGTCGCCTAGCAGAGACTGAAATCACGTTTGTATTTACGTTATTACTTTGCTACAGCTTGGTTTCTGGCAGGGTTTCACACTTATTTAGTCTGGACTGAATCTTTGAATTACTTAATTTTGTCTACCAACTATTTCAAAGAACTTGATAAACTTGTTCTAATTAGCCAACATTATTCATCCATAATGTCCGTATACCAGGTCTAATAATAAAACATTTCTTAATGCACACAGGGCATGGAAGACAGTCTACACATTTTGAAGTGTAGACTTTGCCTGTGACTCTTTTGTGAGGAATAGTCATTGTTACTTTAGGAAAACCCTGAGTTTATCCAACTCTTGTTAGAACTGGGTAAGTGTGAATTCCTACAATAGAATGCAAGTGTGAGAGCCAAGTCCTCTGGTAAAATAAACTCATATTATTATTTATGTATGTCTGGTCATTGTATTAATAAAGTCAGTTTGTTTTGGCTGAAACACACGGTTGGCCTTTACAATAGATGTGAAAATGGGATTATAGATCATTGCTGTTAAGTGTGAATATTAGTTGCCAAACTCTCAACAGCTTCTAAGGAGTGAATTTCCAGTGCATTGCTGTTCTCCAAGTACAAGCAGGCCCTTCAGTTTTACCACATTCACCTTTCACACAGTGATGCACGATATGGAGACAGCAGGAATTGAAGTAGAACCAGAGGGAGTAGCTAGGACAGACATTCCGATTCATTCATTTTGATTCTCACTATTGTCAGGCAGTGAGTAAAGATTCACTGAAGTTTTCTTTTGATGAGTAAGATGGACAGTTTCTCAGTGCAATGGCAGAGCAGCCCTGAAGACTTTACTACTGATTAGTGAAGTCTAAACTGGTTTCTGTGTATTCTTTTTAAATTCAACTTTTATTTTAGATAGAACAAAAATGTGCAGGTTTATTGTGTGATACTGAGTTTTGGGGTACGATTGAAGCCATCATTAAGGTAGTGAGCATCTCACCTTCTTCTCTTCACTCTATTACGGAGAACAGACCCTCCCAGTCTTCAGTGCACTCTAAATACTGGCTAATTCTGGCCAATGGAAGGCATCTGTGGAAGAAGAAAAGCCTCCGGTCATGTGGTATCTGTCTTTATTCACTGTAACATATTAGGTAATGGTCACAGCCACTCACCATGGCCGTTTTTAATAACGACCCTGCTTTTGTGTTCCAGTAACTTCTGTTGTTTTCCCAATCCTAAGTATGATAGAAACTTCCTGCTGCTGCTGATCTCTGGGTTCCATTTAAAATCCTTCTGTCACATGAATACTATGCGCTGTACTAAATTTTTCCATAATTAAATACTTAGAATCATTTTTGCCTGCCTACTTCAGCCCTCAGTGATATGTTTTAAAAACACTTTTTTTTTTTTTTTTTTTTTGAGACGGTGAGACGGAGTCTCGCTCTGTCTCCCAGGCTGGAGTGCAGTGGCGCAATCTCCGCTCACTGCAAGCTCTGTCGCCTCCTGGGTTCACGCCATTCTCCTGCCTCAGCCTCCTGAGAAGCTGGGACTACAGGTGCCCGCCACCACGCCCGGCTAATTTTTCTGTATTTTTAGTAGAGATGGGGTTTCACTGTGTTCGCCAGGGTGGTCTCGATCTCCTGACCTTGTGATCCGCATGCCTCGGCCTTCCAAAGTGCTGGGATTACAGGCGTGAGCCACTGCGTCCAGCCAAAAACACTTATAATGTGTCACAATATATTTAGCAAATGTAGGGAATGACATTTTTACTTTCGTCAGCATTTACACTAGCATTTATGTAGCAATGCTATCTTAAGTATTTTTAGTCATTTAAACGTTATCTAATAGATAAACGCTTTTGATTTGTTTCTATGTAAATATACTTGAGATATTCAGTAAATAGTATTTAATACATGTTTCTTTTATGTAATATAAAATTATGATTATTCTTTTTAAACAGTGCATCATATTTACTTGTTGGCTTTTTGATAACTTAGAAATAATATTCTGGATTAGCTGTGACTCATGAGAGAGTTCGTGCAACTATAATGTTTCCAAATTCACTTGATTTTCAAGACTTACACTAGAACTGTGAGAACAAGGTATTAAGCATATGTATTAATATCACCTTTGGTCAACTCTTGGGTGGCCCCAATGGTAGTGTAGGAATTAACATAATTTTTTTACTAAAGGTATTGGATTTGTTTTGAGAGACCATAGTTTAAAGTCGTTGACATACAAAGTTGTTGGATTAAAAATTTTTAATACATTTGAAGTGGTTTTATAGAAAAATAATTATCTGACC